TCTCTTTTGATAATTGGTACAAGTAAAATTGATCCACAACTACAAAGTATTGTCGGTGGAGAATCACAATTACATAAATCTCATTAGTGTTTTTGTTTTACTGTGATTCATTTCAATTATTTGTTAGTTATTATTATGCTTAAACTTAGATACTTAAGTTAAGTTTTCTTTGTCATCATTTTTGTCGTTAAGTTTTACGTTGCTAGTAAATAAAACTGAGTAATCATCTTTCTGTTTTCTTCTTCAACTTATCACAGCAATAGTAACAACAATTAGGTAATCATTGGCTGTCGCAGGCCAGATTGATGAAAGTAAATCATTGGCTGTCGCGGACCGGATTGATGACACTGGCGGGCCGGATTTGGTCCGCGGGCTGTAGTTTGGAGACCCGTGGTCTACAGCCTTACACAGTTACACTCTGTTCGTGAATCCTCCCACAGAAAGTGAGATACTCTCAATAGAACATGACATGTTCTACACCCGCAAGGGTCTTTGTACCAAAGAACTAATAAAGATAATATATCTATCTATCTATCATAAAGAACAAGAAAAACACAGGTATTTATGGAGTACCCATACACATACTGAAAAACTGTGCTCAAGAGAATGAATGTATTTTACCTTCCTTATTATTGAATAATTTATTTGAGGAAGAATTTTTTCCAGATGAACTGAAGATAGCGATAGTGAAACCACCTCACAAAAAAGGGAATAAGTCTGACATTTCCAAATTCAGGCCAATCAGTATTCCAATATGTATATCAACATTTTTTGAAATAGAAATGGCCAACCAATTAGTGAAATTCTCTATGTAACTGACCACTGCAACATTGAATTCTGCCAGCCGATTGCAGTTAAATCTGGCCAGCGTAAAGAGGCTTGTTTATTTTACCCAATTGATGCAAATATACGTGATGATAATACGCATGATGATCACGCATCTTTCTTTGTTTGGGTTACTTTGTGGGATGAATATAGTTCACTTATAAAACTAATTACATCGATGGATATACAGAAATTTGAAATTAATAAAAAATTAGGTGAAAATGAATGACTCACACTCAAATCTTGAATATTCTTCTGATAATTAGCAATCATCTGATTGTACTTCTCCTTCTCGAGACTCAACTCCTGCTGTAATTTTTTCAAATCCTTCTCCTTTCTTCTTAAATCAGCGTTGGACACCTTTGATTTGCCTTTGCCCGTCTCTCTGAGATCCTTTCTGTTCATAATTTCATGTAGTTTATTTACTGCCTGTTGTTTGAGAAGACTCTCTGTATTCAGTTTGGCAATCTGAGACAAAACAATTTTTTTTTTCAACTTCAGTATAGACTACGATTCTTGGATGACATTGTGCATATCCTAACTATAGGTAGGTATTTGTTTGATTTTATTTTCATTTGAAATGTAAGAAATATTCAAATGAATGTATGAATTCAGACCAAATGATATATTTTTATTTTTCAAATGAAGTGAAAATTTGTTATTACTTATCACTTACCAGTTTTTCAACTTCTTCATTATTGCTGTACTTTTTGTTCAGTTCTTCTTGCAACTGTTTCAACTGTCTGCTCATTTCATCTCTTTCTTTTTGCAGTTGATCGTTGAGCCTCTTCAACTCAGACTCTCTATCTTTGAGTGTGTTCACAGATAAATCTTTGGCGGTCATCTCGTTGCGATGCTTTGATAGAAGATCCTTCAACTCCAGTTCCTTCATGGTCTTCTCTTTCTCAAGATCAGCCACTGTCTCTTCTGCTATGGATCTGAAAAAAATCCTTTATCATCTAATAAAAGCTTCAAATAAGTTAATCTCGTTTTTTTTTAAATACCGACTTTAAAATAGGAATGTAGAGTGAATTTTATTTTCAAGAAAATGTGTGGCTGCCTCCTATGTCTACGTACCAATGCTATGTAAACATCTCAAATTTTTTGATAATATTCTTATCCTATTTGTTAACCAAGATTTGTTCTTTCTTTTGCTTTTGATTTTTTGGATTGGAAATGCTTTATTGAAAATAGATACAAAGAAATTTATCTTGAAAGAGGTTTATTTTTAGGAGAGAGTAATTTTAGCTTTCTTTCTTTGGAAGCTTCCCACATTCTTTTGTGTAAAGATGGAGAAGTAGAAAGCCAAAACCTTCCTTTTCCTAGACACAAGGTGTTCATGGTAACACTGAAAAATATTTTGTGAATCTATTTCAAAATCCAACAGGTAATATGTTGGGAAAGTTAGTTGAAAATAATAAAGACAAGACATTCAAATTCGAGAAATCAGGAGTATATAAATTAAAGTATAAGGTATATATTGGTCAAACTGGCAGAACATTTAGGAATCGAATTCAGGAACATCATACGAGCTATGCAAATAAGAAAACAAATTCAACATATTCAAATCTTCTTCTAGAAGAAAATCATATCTTTAATGAAGAGTTCGAAATTTTGCACATAGAAAATAAATGTTTGAAACTTCTCATTTTTCATAAATTACGGATCTTTTGAAAGCCTCAATAGAGTTTTGAAAAAATTGGTCCGACTCATCAGCCTTCCATAAAATTTGACATTAGATTATTGAATCCCCAATTTCTACAATGTGTCTGTACAATAAATATAGTATTATCGTCCCCAGTTTCCCTTTGTCTCAATCTAAAACTAACAATGTTAGGAAGTTCTGGACAATAATAGTGACCTGCCTTATTTTCCTGTCTATCAATATTTTATAGACCGAGTAAGGACACCACACAATAGATGCATATTCTATGAACAATACAAAATTATCATTGTATCAATAGAGAAGTCCTTACAGATCCTTACATCAAAAATATCGGGATCCTCAACTTTCTCAACTTGGTTCAAAGGCAGGAAGTTCATACAATATTCAAAGGTGATGGGTGAGTGGGAACAATTGAGACACATTATTGCACATTATTCTAAATCAAGATCCAAGCAATCCATTCTACACCAATCAGTTGATTGATTCAAATCAGGTTATTAATAACAGTAATAGACAGCTCAGGGTTCCATCAACAAGTCTACCAATGAAGAGATCTTAGTACATTGCTGACAATGACCTCTGAATCTGGTCTTCCCGGTTATGGGCAAAAAGTTCAAAACCAATCTCATACCATCATCATGGGATTCAATTTGACGATATAATTAAAAATCATTTGCTAAAACTAATCCTTTTGAGTCACTGATGAGAGTAATATGGTCACTAATAAAAATATTGAATAGTAAAGGTCCACAATGACTGCTTTGGAGAACATCCAACAGAACAATAATGGTGTCCAATATATAATTGTTGATCCTTACCCACTGAATTCTACCCATTAAGAAGCTCTCTATCCAAAATAAAATACAGTTCCCAATCCATAAGCGTCTAGTTCATTAAGTAATATTCTATGACTAACTCCTATCAAATGCCTTTGAGAAATCGGCGTGAATTGAATGAATATGACACTGACTCTCAAAAGCATCCAATATGTCCTTCTGATAGATCAGCAAATTGGTCACTGTAGACTTGCTGGAAAACCCATGTCAAGATAGTTACTTTGTAATGAGATAATAAAAATATTTTTGGGTTCACTGAAAGAATACCCTCTGACATTGCTTCTGTCACCAAATTCATAGAAAGTTTTGATCAAGCTATTTTTTCAAAATGTGGAAAATTCGCTGGTTACTAGTGATAAGTTGAAAAGTATAAAGTAAGACGGTCCACTCTGAATAAGTAGAATCTTGGTATATAGGTTTCTGCAAGTGACATATCATCCAGCCATGTTTTGAATATAATTGTGTCATATGAACTCTGGTCAAGTTTCTGAAATTATTGTAGGAAGTCTTCATTCCGCCAACATTTTTATACTAACATGTGTGATTGTTCAATTTTTTGATCCATTGTTCACTTTCATTTCAACAATATGAATTATAAAAAAATAAAATCTGTTTAAAATTTGTTAAAAGAATTTTTTTTAAAAGTTACATGTGTTTTCTGTAGAAAAAAAAGTTTTCAGGTAAGCTTAAAAAAATGTAGTCATCTCATGTTTAATTTTTGTATGTTTCTAATTTTCTTGATACATAAATAAACGTCATTATTATGATTGTTTGTTAATAGATAATCATACAACATTCCGTACTATACAAGATTTAGTAAAAAATGCTATGAAATATTATTGCATTCATTATTATTTACCTGGCCAAGGCTTCAGAATCAGCTCTAGCCAATGCCAACTGGCACTGGTGCTTCAATGATACCCTCTCCTCCTCGAATTCCTTGTTCAATCTATTTTTCTCATCAATCTCCTCTTTCAGTTCATTTGTCTGTGTCTTATATAATGTGGTGAAATATTGTTCAGTCTCCAGGTTCTCCTGAAGTTCCTTCATCTGAAGCTGATCACGCTGGTAGTTGGATTTCAATCTTGCCAGCTCCTCTTCGATGGTTCTTTTAATATCCTACAGATCCATATTAGATTCAAAATCAGAAATATTGTAGAACTTCAACATAATGAGCACTCATTATAAATTTTTTTTAGCTTCTTATATGTATATTTATGAAATTATCGATACGTTCATGTTGATTATATATATTTCTGGTTAGTTCGGCAAAATAATGTTTTGTTCATGTAGTCTCTCTATTTGTTTCTATATACTTTTTTTCATTTGTAATTATTAATTCAATGTTCCATACACACAGGGTGGGGCACCCCATATAACATGGTTCCAGTAAACCAATCCATTAATTTTTTTGTGAATTTCTCCATTTCATTATATGTATATTGATTAAGGCTGCCGAAGGAAATTATTTTGGAGTACCTAACTATAACTGTTCTCGAGTTATTGATTTTTTTATGAAAATGCTAGGTACAACTGAAAAATAAATAACATCGAAATGTATAGAAATCATCCCTTCAAATTCTGAGCTGATAAAATAGGTTTTGGGCTATTGATTTCGATAAAACCCGTTTCTCAATATTATACAGAATGTTGAAAAATCATTGTCAGTTTTTTATAATTTCGGACAAAGATAACTTTGTTATTTCAAATAGAACACCCTGTATTTTTTTGTCTGAACAATATAAAATTCAATTATCTTTCATTTCATTTTGGGGTTCCCAATACCTAACCTAAGTGGTCTTTCAGATATTGGCTTTATCAAATAGTAATTTCAATACATTGTTTGAAACAACATTTATTCAACTTGTTGAAAAAATTCTTGACAGTTATTGTGTTGTACATTATTGAAATATTCACTGAAATATTACCGTTGAAAATGAAAACTTATTCCATTTAAGAGCAGATAGAAATGATTTTAGCGATTGGTGAGTGTTTAGAGAATTGCCTTTTGGTGTCGAGGGTGTATGCCCGAAAATATCCAGACCGGAATCATCCAAGTTGGCAATTGCTACATGATCTTTTCCGCCTACCTCTATCCAAAGTATACATTTACTGGCCTCATTGTAGGGAGCAAAGTCGTACTTTTCCTCACAAGGGAGGAAAAGTAAAAGTGACGTCATGGTACATAATCAATGAAATAATTTATACAGCATTGACAACCTAAACTATATTCTATTATATAAATATAAAGTTTACCGTTTATTTATAGAACAACCTGTATTTTGCAATATGGTATAAATTAGTAGGTATTTTAATTTAACGATTTTTTCATTGATAATTTGTTAGATTCATAGATCCATCCGGTTTTCGAATTTATGACAAATTTTATAGCATGCTATGGTCGTTTGACAGTTTCAAAGTGTGATTCACCATACATAATAGGTATATCTGTAAAATATTAAGAATATTTTAAAAATGAGTGATTCAAGCGATTTTGAAGATATAAATAATACACCACCGGNCAATGGGCTATGCTTGAAGACACCTTTTAACGTGTGATTCCTAACACGGGTTGGACGATAGCAAGTGAAAATCGATCGTTCAGCCTGGGTCTTGAACCACCGACCAACACGGCGATCAATTCGGGTGAGTGAACAAAGCACCCACGTCGAATCGACCGGCTACCGACCGACTGTTCAGATGTATCAGGAATTATATGAAATAGACTTCCATCAATAAATCGAAATGTAGACTTTAAAATAATTCCCTTCTGCAGCCTTGAACAAGAAATTCACGAAAAAATTAGTGGCCTGGTTTACAGGGACCGCGTCGTTCACAAACTTTGCCAATAAGATGTTCAACTCTTGGGTACTTAAGCATATTTTGATTTGTTATTGAAGAGTTTTGTGGTTTAGTATATCTATTAGTGAGCTATCAAATATAATATAAAAAATTGATAAGTAGATGGAATATTATACATTAGGATGACAAAATAAATCAAGAAGCTATAGATATTCATAAACATCAAAACAACTCTAACAGAGAAGAATATATCTGGAACATGGACAAAACAGTATTCAGCCTCTACCGCTGCCCCAAAAATCCCGATGCCGCCCGGACCAATCAGAAGTGTCTCTTTCACCACTCCCTGTCTATAAATATCAGTAACACACAGCTCAGGGTATCATTAACAAGTCTACCAACGAGGAGGTCTTAGTGCATTGCTGCCAATCACCTCTGAAGATGCCTTTTCCAGTTATGGGTGAAGTTCAGAACCAATCTCTTCATTACACCACGGCTACCAACCTAAGCGTATAACCAAAGTTTCCGTTTGATTTCCGGCCGTGAATGCTTGAAACTTCTGTTTATTTTTTTTTATTTTGTAAATGAAAATGATACTGTTATCGAAAATATTCACCTGCAGATGATTCAACTCCTGCAGCAGTTGAGATTCCTTTGCCCTCAGCTTAGTTAATTCTGCCGTTTGTTGCACCATTTCAGACTGCAGTATGGTTTTTTTCTGCTGCTCCTGTTCAATCTGACTGTGCAACGCCTTTACTTTTTCCGTTTCCTGTCGATGTTCACCCTCCAACTTCTGTAATCTCTGCTGTATCTGCCGATAATCCACAGACAACATCGAAATTTGCCTTTCCTTTTCTTGAAAGTTCAGATCAGCCTTTTGTCTGGCACTCTTTTCTTCGTTCAGTTTTGACTGTAGTGCTGAAATGAATCAGTATTAAAAAAAAGTATTAATAGATCAATTTTGGTCTAAAGTGAAAAATGAAATCTAAGAGCAAATCAAAGGTTTTGAGGAATAAAAAGGTCATTTGGTTTGGAAAATTAAAAACTATAATGAGAAAGTCATTAAGTTTTTAGGATATTACTGAATAAAAGGTAAAACTGAAATCTCTGGCGTGGAATAAATCCAAAACAAGAACTTCCTTCACCAACAATTGGCGTCTTCAGGAGATGAAGAAAACTGTTATAAAAATATATTCAGAGGATTAAAATGCAAATCAAGTAAAAGAAAGCAAACATGCACTTGTTTAAAGGCTGTATCAAAAAGTGTACTGGTTAAGAAAAATGTGTGCATAGTATAATAGTTTGCTGTGCGGTTATAATCATCTATTTGTTCCTTAAGTCTACTCTATGCCCTACAAATTACCAGAAATAATCCTGTCCATAAGTTCTGCATGAAAATATAGAAATAGTCTTTGAGGATCGTCATCATCAACTACATTTTAGAAACATATTCCCAATAAATGCACTTACTATTCTTTACTATGTAATTTTTTCACAAGAATTCAATGGCTTCACATTAGTATCTCTAATCTCCATCTCTCACTGCTCATTGAATTTTTGAAGTGTTTAATTTACTACGACCCATCACAATACCTGATCTAGGATCTGAGTAAAAATCTTTTGAAATCAAATCTCCTACTCAGCAATCATTTGTTTCTTGGTAAAGACAATAATCTAAAAGCTGCATTTTACAAAAACTATTTTTTCAAAAAGGAATTATGAGGTTTTTTTAATGAATGTTGAAAATTAATGAAAGGGTGAAAACAATAAAAATAAAATTCATTAATATTTTTGAAAAATATGAACACACTAATTTGTAAAGGAAATAAATTATTGAAGCCTGAAATGGATGTGAATTGATAAATGGGTTAAACAATAAGTGACATTTCATTAATTTACAAACAATAAAAATAAAAAAATAGAAAGATATACTGTATGGTTAGAAATTTCATATTTAGAATAAAGATATAGAGATAATTCATTTCCAAAGAGTATAAGTAAACATGCATGATCAATACAGAAAAACACTTGTCTGAGAAACACATCAATGATAAAGGAGAATTATCACATTTCAAAGATGGGAAGTAATAAAAAATATTTTAACGAAATACTGTCCTAATAACAAAATCTTACAAAAAAATATATTAAAAACATAAGCTTTTTCAACTTTTCCGAGAAATAAATTCCTTAATACTATAAGGCTCTAGATTTCTTGATTACATAAAAATTCTTCAACTGTCTTCAGAAATCTGCTAGGTACAATGAGGTTGATAGTTTCAATAATAAAACAATTGAATAACTCTTCTGTTCTGAGAGAAGTCAAATTAGCGACATCTGAAGAAATATTTATTTGTTTCCACGAAACTACAGGAAATTTATACAAGAATTATTCATATATAAAGACATCAAATAATTATTTGTTGTATTATTAACATTATTCCCTTCCACGGGAGCTATTTCAGAAGTTGTTTAATAAATGACAAATGATTTCATAAACTACACCTCACGATTTGATCTGCACAAACTTTATTTGAAAAATATATCAGGACATGTTTCGCTAACACAGTAGCTTTATCAACAGTGATTTGGCTACTGTGTTATCAAAACATGTCGTGATATATTTTTCAAATAAAGTTTGTGGAGATCAAATCGTGAGTTGTAGTTTATGAAATTACTATGGATATTTATCAAGAAACGGCCGAATCAATCAGAAAAAAAAAACAAATACAAACAAATAAAATAATGTTATTTATTACAACAAATAATTCTTTGATGTCAATTTAGATTTTGTTTCATTGGAAAATTATTCAATGTCATTGGGTTCCATTATTTTTTGTAAAATATAGATTTTGTGGAAAATGCAGGTTTTAGATTTTTTGTTAACAGATACTCGAGCTGTTTTGTTTGATGATCAGGTACATGACTATGAATTTCATAGTGGAATGTTTTTTATTCTTTATAAGGGACATCAGAAAGGTGTGTACTTTAAATTTATAAATAGGATTGATGTCGAGTAAACACTTTTGTTTGCATAGATTCAAAGAAAGTAGATGGAAATTCATTTTGAGTGTATTTTGTAAATTCTTTGACGGTTTCAAAGATATATTTGTGTCAGTTTCTCGGATACTAACTGGATACTGAAATTTTTAATGAATGAGAAGTGAAATAACTTCAGATGCTCAAGACACCATTGTCAAACAACTCGATTTAATGAGAAACAAATTTGAAATATTTCCAATTAACATATATTTTAGTTTTTTTTAATGTTATTTTTCACTCCAATTTTCTTAAAAATCTTAATAGTGAAATAGTATCTTTAGTTTCAGTAAAGAAAATAGGCATTGAAATTCTTATTTGTCAGAATTTGAAATTTCTAATGCTCATGAATACATACATATTTTACAATAATTTTAGCATTACTCACCTTTCACCACTTCCAGATTAGCCTCTTCCTTGTTCAACACTCTGCTCTTTTCAGTTTCTTCATGGGCTTTCACTTCTTGATGATATCTATTTTTAACTGCCTTCAGTTCCAAATCCAGACCTGCACATTCCTTCTCTAGATAAGATACCTTTTCCGTCAGTTGGGTGTTGTCAGCAGCTGTCTGCATCTCTTTCTGGCTCAACCGTTCCATTTCAGCATTGAGACTTTGCAGCTTATTTTCCAGCACCAGTTGCTGGTCACTAACCTGCTCCAAAATATGACTCAGAAACACAAGCAAAATAAGGTACTCTCACGAATGAGCATTATTTATAGCAAATAAGTGATGACGCTATGTTCACTGACATTTCTTTTAGAGTGTTGCGACACGAATGTGATCCCCAAATGCCTTCGGACACAAATAAATTACAAGAGAAAGGATCCATCAGAACAGAAAGGAGGTAGCTCTCATCGACATGGAACTGATGTACCTCACCTTACAAAATTGTCCGTCTCGTGACCAAGAGACATATAAAGAAATACGAGAGTCTCAGTGAGACCCAGAAAAATCGTTTCCCACAGTATAATAGACAACAGCGGTCACCTTCTCCAATCGGACACTTTCAGAAGGCGAGTTCGCATACTTGCCAAAGGCAGAAACTTCGCTATAGCTCCAACCAAGGTACCCCACGAGGATATAATTGCGAATGTCTAGTCAGATATTTGTATTTCACCTAATGACATTGCTAAAGACATCCGCAGATAAATGTCAAGGATTCTAATGCATGCAAAACCACCTAAATCTCAATACTGATGGGAACGTCTTGGTATTGCCTGCTGATAAAATGCCACCGTCGTAATGAACACCAAGGATTATAATAATGAGAGAATTGTGGCCCGACTCGATGATCCAGAGATATAAGACTCAGTTGGGATCCAATCTCTGGGATTTTGAGAAAAGAAATCCTACTTGGCTTGACAAAAATCTATAAAGAGTATGTGCCACTTAGACCTATCATGAATGTGATAGGTTCACCAACTCATGAACTGGCCAAATGCTTGACAACTCATAGGAGAAACAGTCATTTATTAGTTTATTGATAAGATTAGAGAAATAAAGTTAGGTTCTTGTACAGGATGGTCCCAATCAAGGACCTGATATGGCTAATTGAAGAAGTATTCCCATCAGATGTAACTGGCCTCTTTGTTCATTGTTTATCATCAACTTATTTCCAGTGGAAAGGTGTTTTTTATGAACAAACAGATGGTACCACATTTGACAGTCCATTAAGTTCGGTGTTTCTAACATGTTTGTAGTATGACAAGATGGTGAAGAGACACTAAACAATTTTCTATTATATCTAAACTCTCTCAACTGAAAAATCCAATTCACAATAGTTGGACCATACTAACACGGTCAGTTTTTTCAGGTAATTTTCATGTATAACAGTCGATTTTATGTCGAGCAAAGTAGTAGACTGATACAAAAAACAGTTACAGATACATACTACATACATGATAATCTCCATTATTTACAGTCAATTGATAGAAAACGAACGTCATCGAATTTGTTTAGTCTCAATTTTAAAATTGTTTAAAGTTATTCTGCTATTCCAGGCAGAACTAAACCAGCAAATCCAAAATCATGAAAATCGATCCAGCCGTTCACATGTTTTCATAAAATTAGCATACATAAATTTGCACTGACAATTTCGTTTTCATAATGTATCTGAGATTGTATTTATAACTTTGTAAAGTTGGAGAAGGGGATACATTAAATAAATTCAGATAATTCATTTGATTATTTCCAATGAATAATTCCATCATATTTACACAAATTTGACGTAAAAAAATCACATAAATACCTTTTCTTCTGGTATTCAATTAATGTAAAACCTAAAATATAAGGTATGGTGATGTTTTATAATTTTTTGAAATCGTTATTGATAATTTGAAAACGCCATAAAGTTTCGAATGACTTTCGAAGATCATCATCATCAATCAACAAAAACTATTAGTAGAAATTACCTACTAATAGGCAAATGAACAGTGTACAATTTTCATTATTCTTCCATGCTTGAAAAAAGTTAAGTGATAAGTTGACATTTTTTTTACAAAGTTGCTCTTGACAATAGTTGTCAAGGATTCCTTGAGCCAATTTGATTTTATAATTATTATAAAATCGAATTGGCTCAAGGAATCAAAGAACCATAGCCCAAATAATTATACATTTTACCCTTTCTCCTAATGTTAAGGTATATAATAACATTTTGAAATCAATGCCCTACGAGAATAAATGACCTTCAACTTAACTCTAGGGCTTGCATTAGCCTTACATTTACTACGCTATGCACCGACTAATTTGTCCGGCATGACAAAATAAACGACCCTTGTTGATATAAAAAACAAATTTTTGAAAGCCACATAAGAATTTATGACCTTTGCATATAGAGGTCGCTTTTCCGTATTTTTTTTTTCTATTTTCCTGACCCACTTTTTTGTATGAAGTTGTTTGGTTAGGAAAGATCCCAGTCGTAATTAATATCTAACTTTATAGAAGTCTTACACGAATTTTTGACAAATTCATCCCCTCCTCCCAAGTTGTTTTCACTTCGCCAAGATTTCCATGTGCACCACTTTCTATTGACGGAAACTCATTTTCTACTTCAGGACCATAAAAAATTTATTTTCAAGAGGTATCAAATGACCTAAAAATTAACATGGGCTTGCAGTCCATAAGTTTATAAAAGCAACCATGGAAAATATATTATCACAGGCTTTTGATGTCTTGGTAAGTTTGAGACAAGTTAAACAAAAAATTTTGAAATGTTAAGTTAATAAAACAATGTGATGTGAAGAATATATAGTATAATATTTACATATTTTATTGTGTACATAGGAATTAAATTTTTTTTTAAATACAAATTTTGTTTTCATTATTTTTTTATTTGTGGATAATGCTATAATATATGTACAAAGAACACCTTTATAGAGTAATGGACATGTCAATTAATTAAATTTGAAATAAATGAATGTGAAAAATAATCCTCAGTATAAAATGGTAGAATGGGAAATGTTTCAGTAAACATCTATTTAAACGATGAATCGGGTTTACTATATAGATATCTGACATCTTATAGACTGATCAACCATAATAACATACCTGGGATCTTGCTTTCTTCTCTTGGGCCAACTGATCCTGCAAGGTGGTTACTTCTGACTGGAGAGCATCTCGTTGACTTTGTAGGGACTGCAGCAATGACTGGTATTCAGTCACTCTATGCTCCGAATTTGATTTTGCTATTGTCAGTTCATTGGCTTGTTTTCTCAACTTCTGACAATTTTCCGTTTCACCTTTTAGTTTCTCTTGCATCTCATTCACCTAAAAAACAAACATAATGTACATGTGACATAGTTGAAGAAAGGATAGTCGATACAGGGAATTATATTCCATAAGTTCATTTATGATAAATTAAACAAAAGTATGAAAACATAAAACAGGACGTACTCACGACAACAAAACCTTAATAAAGACATTCGTTTCAGTGAAAATAAGATAGATGTTAAGAAGAAAGATATCTGAATATTTTACCTAGCAAAACCAAACCAAATCTTTATTTTGGATTCTGGTTTCATCTAGATACCTTACAGTATAAGTTTCAAAGACCAAAAGCGAATTATCATTTAACAGTCTATGTCAAACTTTGGCTTTTCAACAGATTGCCCCGAGGACATGAGGGAGGTTTGAGTTTTTTGTCGATCCCATAAACAGTGTATTCATAAAGAGAAATGTCCATGTTTACTTATAGTACATACATACGAGGTCCGGCTTTTGAATAACGAGACTGCGCGCCTAGAGGGCGCCCTATAGGAGTGGGTAAAAAAATGAGTAGTCCGTTGGGTATCTGGAAATATTCTCTATTCAAGAACCAAAACACGTTTCGGTAACTTTTATAGTATTTGTGCAGTAGCTGTTTGAACCGAACGAACGCGCTATCTGTGAACCAGTATTTGGCCGATAAACGCACTCCAGTGCTTGAACACGCGCGGTACTCGCCAGATTTTGAACCGTGCGATTTTTTTCGGTATCTGAAGATAAAATCTGCTTTGAAAGGGACCCGATTTGAGTCGATGGAAGGGGGTAAAGCAAAAAACGGCAGAGCTCCTAAAGGCTCTCACCAAAGAAGACTTCCAGAACTGCTTCGATCAATGGAAAAAATGTATGGACCTCGTACATGCATAATAATATGAACCATCACCAACTTTATTTTTCACTAATTATATAGTAATTGAAGCTTTGCAAAGTCTGGAGTTGAATTAGAATCAATGTTCTAATGATATTTGATATACTTTGAGTAGAAAATATGAATAAGGAAATGGAAAAAATAACCAAGAATTGGTCAATATAAATTCCAACATATGAAAAGGGAATTATTATGTGATGGAACTGGTTAATACTTTATGAAAGTATCACTTCATTGTAAGATTTCAGTGAACATTTTTCCTTGGACAATAACACTATTCACACATATAAACACATATT